CTTTCTGCTTTAATCAAATTATAGGGGAGGGGAGTTGAATGGTTTGTTGTTTTTTTAACTCAACTATTATTTCTATTTTTCTACAGTTCTTTTACGTTAAGGTACTACAGAATCTTTGTTGTTTTGAATAATACAATTGATTTAAAATGGTGAGCCTTTTGGATTTTTTTCTTCTTCTTCTCCTTTTTGGTCAATTGAAAGAATTTTAGAACCAAATTGCAATATAGGAAAGAAAGAAAGAAACAGGAAAGAAAGAGTAAGGTTAGGATCTGAATACTCTTCTAGGGGCACATTTATTTATTTTGAACAGAATATGTCTTTCAAGATATAAATTCTCAGGGCAGTGTTCCCATTACATTTTTCTACTTACCAAAAATCCTATAATTTTATTATAAGTTGTAAGAAGGATCCATGGGATCAGATCAAAATTCCATTGGGTTCAATAATTAATAGTTAATTCAACACCCCTTGAAAGCCTACAAACAGGGCATTGCTACAATGCACCATCATGTTGTTTTATCCAACTGTAATTCAGTAATATGCTGCTTTTAATGTTATCAATAGAATACATTATTCTATTCTAGATTAGTAGTTATCTTTACTTTCATCTTCTTCAGCCTATTTAATTCCCACTTAAAGTTGTTTAAAATCTGGTATCTTTGGATCTGCTATAGTTTATTGAATGATCCCAGCCTTGGGGTTTATTAAAGTGGATTAGTGAAATGAATGAATCCAGTCAAAAAACTCTTCTGACATATTACTAAAGTTCCCGTTTTAGCAGTGTGCTGCATGAAGAATTTCCTTTTGTCTGACTGAATCTCCAGTGATTCAGGTCCACTGAATGAGCATGGCTTCTATTAGGCAGAAAGATATTATTTTCTTTTTCCACAGCATCATAATTTTATTACCCTTCATGATTGTACCTTATCTTGCTGTGCTTCCTAAAATATACTCCTGACCAGTATTTTTAAGAAGTTCTAAATTTGCTTTCTCCTCCATCAGTTGTGCGAGCAATAAAATGTATATTGTTGGATAACAACTCAGAATATGCCAATGTGATGTCATTAATCCCCTTTCCATCCCCTTTTGGATAGGTGACCGAAGACTTAACCCATTATTTAAATTTAATAGTTAAATTATCAGATAGGAGTAGAAATTGTACATTTAGTCCCATACTCTACTTTCATTCTGTCATTTGGGTATTCTGCACATTTTCTGTCATTTTTTTTTAAATCTTGACTATAAGCATCCAAGAAGTGGCTGGTGTCTGAACTACATAAGAAAGATAGGAATCTAAAAGATCTAGTAAACAGTCTCACCCAACTTTACTTCACCTTTCTAGGATAGATCGTAGAACATCTGTATGAGAATTTTCTGCTCTTCTCCTCTATATTACAATTTCCCCTCCTAAATTCTATAGCCACCCATCGATCATTTGTCTTCCATTTGTTTGTCTTAGGCGAAATAAGTGTTTTTTGAACACTTCTCAGATTTTTGGAGGCATCTCAGAGCCTCTTTTTTGCTAAGAGAATGTGAAGCAATAAGGCCAAAGCCAAATGCAGCCCTTGTCCATGCAACTATTTGTGACAAACAAAATGTTACAAAAATATCCTCTTTCATGAGGAGCCCAAATAAAATTCCAATACAATGCCCTACATATATTAAGCAAATCACAATTCAAATAATCGATTTTCTTCTTCTTTCTCTCCATTCGCATAAATATTAGAAGATTCCCAAGAAATCCAGTCAGTTTTTAACTCATTGTAATTGTTAACTGATATAGTACATGTACTTGTAATCTGTTTCATGTGTAATGTGAAGTGTATAATCAATCTATCTTCCCTCTCTCCCATTTCACTCCATTTAAATCCTTCATCTGTCTAGCTACTCTATGCATCTAACGCAGTGATCTGCAGCTCATGAAAACATACAACTTTTAATAAAATTTGTTAAAAGGTGCTACAGTACCAGATTTTTTTTTACTACCTGATACAGTATGAGGTTTTTTATTACCCTTTTTTTACTACCGTAGACTAGCATGCCTGTCCTCCCTAATTTCTTTACTTCATATGTACTGGGATAACCTATATGTCCAATAATAAATAAGTCTAACCAACTGCAAAGGGCTAGTGGCATGGTGGTTAAGGTGTTGGATTAGAATACAGGACACCCAGTTTAACTATGGAGATTTAAGCAGATGCTGTGGGGCAGGTGGACAGAGGACAGAGTATTCTTTGCACCACTGTAAGCTCTGGAGGAAAAGCAGCGTAGAAATCTAATAAATAAGGTAATAAACCTAACTCAGAAGGGAAAAAAAGGGTTTTGTTGTAGTTCCAAGATTCCATAGATGGAGGTCAGAGACCTTGTTATATACAAATTATCCAGAGACATACTAATTGGTCCTGATTTATTTTCCTTTCATCTCTGTTCTGAGCTGCATCTGGTCACCTTTTTCAAAAATGTAGCCTTTTTTGCAGTTTAGTTTTATTACTCCCAATGGGACCAGAAAAGAGAAGAACAGGGTATTCGCAAAGGCATTGCCCCCAATCTGCCAGCGCAAATGTTCTATGGCTCACTCGGTGTCAGCCACAAAGCTTTTAGTATTCAGGAAATTCTCAGTACAGCCAGCCCCCCCCACACACACACACACCCAAAACCACCAGTCTTAATGGGCTTTTATAAATGACCAATCACCAGTCAGTCGATAACTCCCCAAAGTATAAAGCAAGAGCCATGTTCATTAAAAATGGCTTTGTTAACCTTGTCATAAAAGGGCATAACTGACTCACTATGGATCCATCTGAATAGACATCCGCAGCAAGCCAAGATGTTGTCAAAATGATGAAATGTGTGTCATGACAGCATAACACAAGCTCTACCACTTATGTACTTGCAGGCAACACTGAGGCAGCATTTCTGTTGCGACACATTTAATCATTGTCCCCCGTCTCCCACTCTCAACCCCCCCCAACTGATACCCACATATATAGCCAAGCTATCATTTGACTTTCAGATGATAAAAGATCAGTAGCATATATGTTTTTCCCTCCATTTTTTAAAGATAGCTGAAGAGCAAGACAACCTTTGGGCAACTATCTGTCAAATGGGGTTTGAGATGCAGAGGACACCTGTCACAGATTAATTGTTAATCATTCACTTATGGTTTGAAACATATATTACTCTCTATGGGCATTTGCAGATCTCAGAAATTGATTTAAAATGCCCAATCTTATTTTTTTTATCTATGAGAGAATATGCGGCTGGGTCCAAATAGTATGTATGAAAATGGCTGATCAGAATATTTCCTCAACTGACCCCAGTTCATTTCTCAAAGAACAATATTTAAAGAGAAACTGATTTTTTTTCTTTTTAAATGTCCTTAGAAAATCTTAGCTCTCTTCCCTTATATGAACCAGGAAGGAGGTTTCTTCAATTATATCTTTACAGAGAACTGGATCTCTTTTGTGACAATCGATCAGGTCATTTGTGTAAACTCATTTTCTACAGTGAAAAGTCAATCATGAATGCAAAATCTTAAAATGAGACAGTAAATTGGGTTTTTTCCCCCCAAACATGGTCAAAAGAATGCAAGAGGAATCACAAACCATTGCTCATCAGGAGGATCACTTGGTCCTGAGTTGACACAGGCACTATAGTAATCTCAGGCATGCATAAACCTTGTCTTCTGATATTGGCTGAGGTTAGCAGCAAGTACATGGGGCTTTCTGTCCTTCAGGAAACAGGAAGAAACTGGTTCCACAATTACAGCTTAACCTTCTTTCACATCTCTGGATCTTGTAGAAATTCTCCAGGGGTCTGGCACAGGAAAATCAGCTCTTATGTGTAAAGTTTAAGGTGCAACAACCACAGGGTATAGGGATGCTGTGTTTTTGTTTTGCTTAAACAGCTCCTTATTCCAGTGATGGCTAACCTTTTCCATGTTGCTTGCCATAGGTTCACCATCACAGCCTTATTCCATTCTTCCCTAAATACAAAAAGATCAAGAGTTGTGAAATCAGTACAGCATGTAACCCCGCATCATTCATTGCCTTATGTCTTCGATCAGTACGATATCTTCACAGCCTCAGGAAACTTCCCTGATCAGAGTTAAGACTTTTTAGTTTATTAAAGGCTCTACCAAAAGTTGCGGCTACAAAGCATGATAGGACCAGCCAGGATGTTGCTTCAAGCAGGATAAGTTCACCCAGGTTAAGATAAGGCCCAGCCTATTATGACAGTAGCATCCTGGGTACCACAGCTGGCTGGGTGCCTCTCTCAGAATCATTTATTTAATTTATTTGATCGCTTACAAGATAATAGATATACCTATAAACATGAGTAAGAATACAGGAAATCAGATGCTCAGCTATCTTTTTGGCCAACTTAAACTTACCCCCACCCCCCCAGGACTGCTGGGAAGAGACAAGGAAGGGCGTTGTGCATTGTTGCAAGGACGCCCAGCTCAACACATAATTGTCCTTTTTAGACGACAGAGTTGAGCTTCGTGAAGCGCTGCCACGAGGACCTCTGAGTTCGTGCAGAGGGCTTTCAGCAGGTGTGTGTGGGGGGATGGGGTGTTCCTATATTCCGCGATCCCTCGGCTATCGGACATAATAGCTGTGCAAACACGGCGCCACGGGAGGACGGGGGGCGGGGGGAGACAACCGATCCCACCTGCCACCGCCGCCTCCTTGCAAAGTAAACCGGGCAGGGAAGGCGAGAAGCGCCCTCCCGCTTTCCCCCGAGGGCGTGGTGCGCGAAGCCGGGCTGCCTCCCGGAGGCCCTCGCCTGCCATTGGCTTCGCCTGCAGCGGAGGCTGGGCTAGGCAAGCCGGGAAGGGGCGGGGGGGGGGGGGGGGGAGGCAGGGAAAGTTGCTGCCTGCGCCATGCAGTTCCCACTCGGTCCAGGAGTTTGCGCGGGACTGGCGGAGCTGGAGCCCAAGCTCGAGGCAGGTAAGCTGAGGCCGGCGGGGCTGGGCGAGTGCGGCGCGGTCCGGGACGAAAACCTCTTCTGGCATCCGTGCTTGCAAGCTGAAGACACTCCTCGGCGTCCTCGCCCTCCAGGCCCAGGAAGGCACAGGGAAGAGCCCGTCAAGTCCCAGGTTGAATCATCCCTCCCCGCCCGAAGGGACAGGTGGGGGGGGGGAGGCGTCTGGCCCCGACGGTTCGGGCCCCGCACATCTTTTCCCTGGCAAAGGGCTGCCCTGGAGCTCGCGGGTTTCGCCTTCCTCTAGGATGGGAGGTAGCCGTCGGGCGAAGGGGTGGGGGGGAGGGAAGGTTGCTTCGGAAACGTGGAGCTTTGTTTTTTAGGGTGTGGCAGGGAATTATTTCTTCAGAAAAGTTGGAAGGGGAGATTGGAGGCGGGTGGGGGGGATGAATAATGAATGCGACGACTTTAGGTTTGGGGCAACGGGAGGGGACTTGCGAAAAGTTGCAGATTTTCTCCAGCAACTTTCTTAGGTTGGAAGCAAAAGCCATTGGCAATTGTAAAAAAACGAGCGCGGGTTATAAGGCGCTGCTTTTCAAGCGTGGCCTCTGAAGGGACTAGAACCGACGGTATAACTTGCTGGCCCCGTAGCGAATCCTTTGAGCGTGTGGTGTAGCGGTGAGAGTAAGAGGAGGCAGGCTCAAGGCCGTTCTTCTTAGCCAGTAGAAGCTCGTTGGGCGGCTCTTGGCCTGTCACGGCCACTTCTGAATCTGGCCTACCTCACAAGATCGGTTGGGGAGCGGGGTTGGAAGAGGGAGCGCTGGAGACATTGTTTGGAGTTCCTGAGCAAAGGGAGAAAAGGAATCTAATTACTATTAGATCTAATAAACAAGCATACCCCAAGCAGATGCCTTCAGGCATTTGGACTACAATGGCCATTATCCCCTGCTTGCTCAGAGTGATGAGATGTTGCTATTAAACCTCACTGGGCAAGGTTGCCCGAGGGAGAGAGAGTCTGTCAGACACAGGCAGGCTGGCAAAACTTGCTGTAACTAGTCAAGATGAATCCAAGGACTGCTCTTCCCCCCCCCCCACCCTTTCCTTTCCTTTCCTTTCTTTTCTTTCTGCAGTCCAGGCTGTTTTGTGGTTTGACTTGAGGGGTGGCACTTGGGAAGGGGGAAATGATCTTGGGAAGGAGGAGTGTGCTGGCAGCATCCAGGAAGGCAGAATCTGAGAAGAAAGCACGATCTCTTCTTCATCCCAGCTTGGTTCAAACGCCTCTCCTCCCATTTTTTTTTCCTGCTTTTTTTTTTCAAGGGTGGCAGGACGTGAAAGAGAACTGGTCCATTCCTAGGACTGTTCCTCCCCTTCCAAGACCGCTGTGGAGTCCCAGCCTTGTTGCACACACGCAGGAGAATCCCACCTTCTGTCCAGGCTTCCTTTCTCTGCCTTTCTGCTTGACCCACGAAGATTGCTTTTGGAGGGCTGGAGCCAAGGATCCTCTGGAGACGGAGACAGCCCAGGGAGCACCGCAGGAGAACAGTCCCTGACAAGAGGTGGTGATGCTGGGGAGCTCTCTTTGGGGCCGTCCATCCCCTGCGCTAAGTGGGGAGAGACGAGGAGCTGGGGGGCTGGAGCTGTTCCTCCTGCTGGTCCTTTCAGGCTGGGTTTGGGCTCAGCAGCCACAACTGCAAATTCTCCCTTGCCCTGCGCTATGTGTGTGCTCCGAGACTGCCCGAACAGTGAAGTGCGTCAACAACAACTTGACGGAGGTGCCGTCTGAGCTGCCGCCTTCCGTGGAGGGCCTCTTCCTCACCCATAACTGCATCCGTAACCTCTCTTCTGCCTCCTTCCTCTCCGCTTCCCTGTCGGAGCTCACCATCCTTGACCTGAGGGGTAACCAGCTGAGCTGGGTGGGCACGGAGACTTTTGCAGGGCTGCCTCATCTAAAGCAGTTGGACCTCAGCGACAGTTCGCTCACTTGGCTCAGCCCCATGGCCCTGGGCAATGCCAGCAGCCCCTTGGAAGAACTGGACCTGAGCAGCTCCCTCTACAACAACAGCTTTGTGCCCTTGGTGGCTGAGCTGCTCCAGGCAGGCACGCTTCTCAACTTGAAGCGCTTGGACCTGTCGGATAACAATTTGATTTATCTACCGGCCAGGATGTTCTCCACACTGCCCAGTCTGGAGCACCTAGACATGCGTAACAACTCCCTGGTGAGTTTGCGTAACGTGTTCTTCGGGAGCCTCCAACAGCTGCACAGCTTCAATCTCAGCAGCAACAGTTTCAAGACCCTGAGGAACGACACCCTCCAGCAGCTCCAGGGCCTCCCTTTGCTGTCCCTCAATCTCAGCAGTAACCCCTGGGTTTGCGACTGCCACATTGAGGACTTGGTGAAGTGGCTGAAGGAGAGCAAGCAGGTGGAGGCCAAAGGGTCCCTCAAGTGCTCCTATCCGCGGGAGTTGCAAGAACGCTCTTTGGTGAGCATCAATGTGTCAGAACTCGACTGCTCCCTTCTGATCGACGACCAGACCCCGCTGCAGACTTCTTACGTCTTCCTCGGGATAGTCTTGGCCCTCATTGGTGCCATTTTCCTCCTGGTTTTATATTTGAACCGAAAGGGGATCAAAAAGTGGATGTATAACATCAGGGATGCCTGTAGAGACCACATGGAGGGCTATCACTACAGGTACGAGATCAACACAGATCCCAGGCTAACAAGCCAGAACTCCAACTCAGATGTCTGAAGAAGTACTATGGGGAAATGGGCCTGATGCATAATAGCCCTGCATGAAATGTAGACTGTAATTCTTTCCCTTATCCCTACCTGCTTCCTCTTCCCTTTTCACCTAGACACCAGAAACTTCACCTGTGCAGAGAATTATGCGTCCCTGCACAATATTCACATTATTATTATTATTATGAACGTGGTGCATGGTGTTAGGCAGTCTGTGCCATTGCTACTTCCCTTTGCAATTCACTACCAGCTTGTGGTTGGATATTTCTTAGCACCCAAACAGATAAGGAATGTTCCCTCTTTGTTTCCTCCTCTTGATATTTTCAAAGAGTGAACATATATTAAAAAGTACCATTCAACAAAGACTGCCTCAACTTTTTTTTTTTTTTTTTGAGACAAACATTTTACTGATTGCTGGAAGGTCGTTTTTGTGCTTCATAATTGTGAAAAGGTTTATAGATTTCATACATATTTAGAAAAGGGACATGTACAGACAAGCAAGTAAACAGCAAGCATGCAAAAAGGGAAAATCCTATCCCTTAGCTAAGTAAATCAGTAATTTGAATGCTTGCTCTTTCTCCTTGATTGTGTGCACAAACCACTTGTATGGTTTGGCTTATGGTAAAAAAAAATACAAGCATTTGCAATTTATATGAAAACTAGTGTCTTTAAGGAATTCTCATCTCATATAAATTGCATATGAAGTGAGCTCGCACTGTTAAACAAGTCAATAAATGTTTCTGTTTTGCTGGAGCAGGCTGTCCTCTTATAATAAGGAAATTAAGCCCCCAACACGATAAAGATTCTTTCCTTTTCGATTAAAAATTGTGCAAAATATGAGAACTTTTTTTAAAAAAGAATTGTTTGGAAGCATGTCATCAATGTAGTTTAATTTTAAACAGGCTATAAAAATGCAGTTATAATAATTCACTTTTTTTTTTGGTTAAACTGCTTTTGAACTACCATCTCTTTTGCAAGTGCAATCTCATTTTACACAACCTGTTGTGACTTTGGAGTGGTTGTACAACAACTCTTAAGTGGAAAGATAAAGGATTAAATGACACTGATTTTTGGAGCAATCGCTGAAATTGGGAACACAATCTTGCTGCTGAATAATGGGCACTTGTACCTTTTTTTTTCTAATCTATGCAAACATTACTTTTGGCAACTCAGTGGGAATTATTCCCAGATGCATGTGAGAAATCTTGAACTGAAAACACGTATTTTATTGAATTAAAATGGAATGTTTCACTGATGCTCAGCTTATGTGAACCCAGTCAATTGTCATTTATTCAACACATTATGATTAAACCAATGGTGGTTTAACACATGAATCCAACCATAATGTAGCATGAGTTTCAGTGACAACCCATCTGTGGAAAGAGAGTAGCGTTCCAAGTGTTTACTTTGACTAAATTGTACCTAATGTATCTAAGCTGCAATAATTAGACCAAGGATCTAGGTGCACATACTTTTGGAAAAATACTGTGATAACAGAATTAAGCTGTAGGTCCTGTGGAGTGGTAGGCTTACTCCCAAATAAGTATGCTTAGCAATAGTATCTGATTTTAAAACAACTTCGTTGAAGTCAGCATGGCCTTAGTTTTCAGTTGAGAGGTTATACATCTTCAGACCTCCAGGGGGGAGGCTGACATAACTGTTCACCAAGCTGGAGACAATATTATGTAAGTTTAGTCTTCAAAACTTAGCTAATGTTCACAATAACATCTGTGCAATTGTATTTATGGTTTTAACTTGTGCATGGCTATGACTTTATGTGTCTTTGCACATTTATAAGGAAGGATGTTTTGCAAACCATAGTATCACCTTCAGTCTAAATATTGTGATAGTGCAGGAAGTATATTAAACACGTTCTTCTTTGAAAAACTGGAATGCATGAACTGTGATGCCAATCTGCCTATCAGCTCTAAATAGATAAATTTACTTTTCTGTTAGCAATTTTTGGAAAGTTGTATATCACATTCTTAGCATTGCTTGTGAAGTACTAGGTCTAATAAATCACAAATAAGTTTACTATAGCAATAAGCAATCTTACCCGTATTGGTTTGGAAATAATTTCCAACTAAATCAATGGCATGGAAATCTATGTGTGTATAAAGTAATTAAGTTTATTCAGAATGTTTATAGCTTAACTATGCCACTGTTTATGAAGCTTCCACTCTTATGCGCACACACTATTACGGTATTGCAAGTTCTGCTAAATCTCTTTTTGCAAATTCATTTGTTCCAATTTGGGGGGAATGAAGAGAAATAAAATCTGTACTACTGACTTATGCTTTTATTTCACAAATAACAAAATTTCTGATTTTACACATTTCTTAGTCTGTAATATTACTAGACTTAGTAATATAATTCTGTTGTGATATAATCTGTTTCAAAAAATAAAGTGAAATAAAATACAGCAGGTACTAACTAAAAATAGCCTTTTCAGACAACGCTAGTGTTTAAATTATTTTTTTCAGTGTTTTTAATAGAGAACAGCATTGCTTAAAAAAAAATACTGGCTTTGGAAGATGCGCTGCCTTTTCTTAAGCAGTGCAATGCAAGCCTTAATTTGACCAATGAAAAATGTACCAATCAAACAAATAAATAATGTTAGCAGGTATTAATATCACAGGAAAACATCAGGTTCTTAAGGTTCTGAATGGCATTGTAAGCCATAATATCTTTATATTTGAATCAATTTGAATCAAATAATCTTTCATTTAAAAAAATCCAAACTTATTTGCATATTTCCTAATCTTCTGAATTAGTGTTAATCAGATTGTCTAAAGTGCAATAGACTTTTCCAATAGGAGGAAGACAATTATAAATAACTGTTTCTGTTTTGCAATTCAGCTCTATCCCCTGCTTTTCTATACATTTATTAATACAGGACAAGTTGAGATGGGCAATTGCTCTTAAATGCTCTTAGAATTGTTCAACAATAGACAGATATTTTTTATCTAATTGTTATATTAGTTTGATGTAGAATTAAAACATACAGAATATAATTCTCTAGCAGCTGAAACTAATGCATCTATTTCCTTTTCTTTGCAACATCCAACTAGAAAGTATTTCCCTCTCTTGGAGCTGGAGCCCCTTGCCATATATCCCAATTTCTATTTCCTTAGCAGCAGATAGAGCTTAGCAGGGTTTATAAATGTCCAGATTTGCCCAGGAAATCTTTTAGAAAGGAAGTGTTTCAAACAAATCAATTTTGTCCTCATCTAAGAACTTTATTCAAATTCAAGTGTTAAATGGAAAATGGATCACCCCCCTAGATACTGTCACACTGTTCCATCCCAGTAGGTTGTGATCAGCCAGTAACCATGTACTACTGCCATGGTATTGTAGAGCTGAAAAGAGACCAAGGTCAGTACAACCTTTCTCCAGGTATACTTGGAGTCTGCATATAATAACTCAAAAAAATCTTAAAATTTCTCAGAAGATGATTCTTTTTCATAGAATGTCAATCTCCAAATAGCTCAGCAACGCTAACCTTGTAGCTGCCAGTACCTTGGGGCACCTTGCTTACATAATACTTCAATTTTCAGACTTAACTAATAAGATATGCCGCCTGCACACCAAAGGCAAAAGTAACTTATGATGCAAGGGTAGCCAGCCACATAGAAAGAACCCTACACATGAAGAGCCATTGCCAGCTTCACTTTTGTTCTCTTTCCTTTAGATGGATTCTTACCACTGAGCACCATTTTCTCAGGAAAAGTAGAGGAGAAACTAAGACAGGTTACTTGTGTGGTACCAAATTAGAAAGCTTGTCCTGCCACCCTCCTTTTTCCACCAAGTCTCTTCTTTTCCATATGGCAATCTATGAATTCAAACCAGGATGGGAAGAAGTAGACAAAAAGATGAAGATGATGCCTACAAAAACTTTAAGCTATAGTCTGCCTATTCCCAACCAAATCATGGTTGCTTGTACTATCTTTTTTTTTTCAATACTTAAAGAGAACTATAAATATTTCACCTCATTTCACGTGATCTGCATAGATCAGTGATGGCTAACCCTTTTGGCATTGAGTGCCCAAAGCCCACGCATCCCCAAAATGCAATGTGTGTACATTCTCACGCCTGCGCTCTGACCCAGTACATGTGCCCCTTTGTGCATGCATGTGCGTACCACCTGCATGCATGGCAGCGACCTGAAGACAGCTGGCCGGCCGGAGGCATGTGCACGCATGCGTGGCAGAGCTGAGCTGGGGCGATGGCTCACGTGTCCACAGAGAGGGCTCTGCATGCCACCTTTGGCATGCATGCCATAGGTTCACCATGACGGCCATAGATAGTCCTCCAGAGGTTTCCTATATCATCAGAGGCCAGAGACATTCTAGGATCTCTTGCATACAATAAAGAAGCTCTTCTCTTGAGGGCCAGCTGTTTCTCAAGTCATCTGACATTTCAGTAATCCTATGATTTGAGTTCTAAAACCTTTGATCATTTTGCTCCCCTGTGATTTTTTTTCCTGGATGACTATTATATCTGTGTATTTATTAGCTGTATTGTTAAGGTTATAGATACCTAATTAATGTGCAATAATGAATAACGAAGGTGCATTTTGATGCAGTAATTGAGCCCCAATCCTTATTTCCCGTAAAACTATCTGGTAGTCCAGGCATGGATCAAAGGCCTGCCCTATTTCAACAATGTTCTATACATGCCTAATCCATTACAATATAACATGATGTTCTGACCCAACCGGGTTCTCAAAGAGCAAACACAAAGGCAGCAGCCCCCACCTTTTAAGGTTTAATAACGAATTCTGTTCTGAAGGCTGCTTTCCACCAATTAGCTCCGACAAGAAAGAGCCTTGCCAAGTTGTTTGTCAAGGCTGCCAAAAACCCAGAGATAAGAACTAATTTACAAAATTCTCCAAACACGAACTAAGACCAGTTGAGCTTAAAAGCTTCTTTGCTTTCTGCAAAGAATGCTTTTCCAAACCTGGCTTTTATCCTCTTGAAGGAGGGGCCATTACCTTGCAACCTTACTCCCGAGTCGCCTGTGCTGCTGTAATTATTCTTTCCTCTGAGTAACTAGGCACAGGCTCCTCTGGAACCTCCTCATCACTGCTGCCAGCCCCCACAATCTCTGAAGGCAGCAGTCCACTCCCTGATGGTCCTGACCCCTCATCAGAGTCATCACTCTCCTCAGCCATCTGCACCTGCTGCCGGCTAACCACAACACATGATTGGACAGCAAGACTGTTCATAAGATTTCATTATGACTTAGTAATTTGAAACTTTATTTTTTTAAAGAAAGTCTCTACTTCCAAAGTTATTTTTTTACCCTTCTTATCCCACCCTTGATCTGTTGCTAACTGACTGGATAAATACCTGCCTTGACTGTTGCTCAATATACTTATTTGTTAAATTTCCTCTCAGATCAAGATACTTAAGGAGCAGCAGTTACAGCTGGCAAGATCAAAAATCTGATTTAATTTTATCTTTCTTTTTTCAGTGATTGAATGAATTCAACCAACAAAGAAAACCTCTCTGTGGGAGAAAAAAGAATAAGGCTTGGTTCAAGAGAATTTGCAATTCCAACTTCCATATTTCACTCTTTATGTACTGCAAAAGCAAGGTGGAACTTATGTCCTTGGCATGAAGTGGACAACAACCTGCTTGACTGAAACAGGGTCCTGTCATTTTCATGGACTCCCATGTGCCTGCTATGTGATAGATGAAAAACCCTACGTATGGTGTTTTTTTTTGGAAATGTCTGTAATATGGGCACAGCTGTGCGTTTTCCCTTCTTCTTGTCTCAAAGTTGCACTGTTACTGCAATTACATACAGGGAAAAAAATAGAAGTAATTTTGCTTTAGGGAGAGTCTAAAAATGGGCTTTATTTAGCTGACTGTGAAGAGAGTTTGGGAAAGATTTTGATTCTCTTTCAATTCTCTTAACATGGGGGAAGCAACCTGATATTCTCAAGATCTATTTGACAATTCCTACATTCCAGAGTGGATGGGAGTTGAAGTTGAAAACATCTAGAAAACACCAAGTTGCCTATGGTTACTTTTAACATAGGCAACTGTGACATGTGTAATCTTCAAGCAAGCAGGCAACATAGACTCAGGGATAGAAGTATTTCAGAAGAACCACTGTTAAAATATACAGCTGCCCCACTGGTTTCAAGAAAGATCCTTCAAAGTTTGGGCAGTATTGACTTTCATAGCATGATTGTTCTTTTCAGTTAAATAGCAGCTAAAATCTATCAGGGAAAATGTTTGATAATCTTTGACATCCTTCCCCAATTCTATCTCAGCACCTATTAGTGGCTCTTATTATCCATTATGTAAAGTGACTCTCAAAAATACCAGTAGCCTGCCATGCAAAGCAGCTTATTCAATTACTAACTTGCCTATATTCCTGCTTGCTAAAATAAGCCTTTGTTTATTTGAATCTGAATGTCCCATATAGCCTTTTTCCCCCTTTGAATTACAAGTTTGAACTACAGGGATCAAACTCATGAAGGCATAGGAAATATCTTTAGCTGATTTCTGCAGAGTGGTAAAAAACCACTTTGGGGAGGGAATGATTATATTTATTTGGAAACTAATAGTATTCAGATAATCTGTTGGAAAGCTCTTAAAAATAAGTTGTTCCACTGCAAATATAGGTTCAAGACTGCACGGGATTGCTGGATAGAATTAAAAAATACTCCTATCTAAATTCTTAGAATCATCTAGGGAAAGATTTCTGGGAAGAAGGACTGTATACAAGCAATATTTGCTAAGTATTACCAGCTGCTCTTTATTTTGAAAAACACATTAGGGAACAAGGGCTATTCTGTCCTAACCAAACAGAACATTTAAATACATCAAATGTAGAGTATCCTGAATTCTGAACACTGTCTATGCTGGGACACTCTTGGCTTCATGTTTAGTGGGGCTTATTAATGTGAATGCTCAAAGGTTCAAGACTTCATATATTATGGGGTCCTTGATACTCTCTGAGCTTGGTTATTTTCTTTCAGATATTTCATTATCAACTAGGTAACATCATCAGTGATACTGTAGATGGAGTTTGCTCTCTATTTATACACAAGTGACTTTCTCTTCTATTGGTACTGCAAATATTGGCCCATATAATTTCTCCATTTGAGCTGTGATCCCCATTTTGCACTATCTATCCAAGCCTCCACTAATTTTTTTTTATAGGGAACATCTGCAAAATAAACAAGAGACTCACAAAATTTAGGACTGTCAATATTTCAAAGTCAGAATTTCCTGAGACCCAAGGAACATATGCAATGAACGCCACTGCACTTCTATCATGCTTGGGATTTTCCCATAAGTCTCTGTCAGCCCTTTTAAAAGTCAGGATTTAGATAGGAGAACTGGAAAAATCCTTTAAATGGGATGCTTTGGAACAGGTGGGAGCCC